AAGCAACACAAGAACCCAGTCAGTTTATGTGCTGACAAGAAGCATGCTGAAAGGAAGAGAAAACAGAGGCACAAAACATGAGCTTATCACTGTGCTTTTTCTCCTTCCACTGCCCAGTCCAGGCTGGGGCAGGTTCAGGATGACTTGGGCTCAGAGGAAGTGGGATAAATTATGTTGGCCACCAGACTGATGACATCTAGCAGCATAAAAAGTACTACAGGGGTATATCTGGATTGAAGGTGAATATTAAAACAAAAGCTGTTTTTGGTATTTTATTTTGATGGACTATTCTTTTTTTTTTTTAATCTGTATTTATTGATTTTCAAATAAAGCAAAATACAACATTTCAGGAGAGGAAAAAAAAAATTACTATATAAAGTTAACTATGCATATAAAAGATGAAAGTTGACAATGCACCAAATAAAGATATTCCAAACAAATTATCCATGGACTATCTTCATATAGATATGAAGGGGTGATAACAATCGAGTGAGAGAATGAGCTTAGATTAAATAATACCAGATAAACTATAGACATGAATAACATCACTTCTCTACCATACAAAGAAAACCGTTTAGGTTTGTAAAGCCAGTCACAGTTTTTCCGACGAAGAGTAAGAGAGGAAAGAAAGGGTAAGTAAGTGGTTGAAAAAGACCTGAGAAAGAAGAAAGGGCCAGGGCCCCGGCCAGCACCGATGTAATAGGAAGACGGGGGTAAAGAAAGGTGAAAAATGAAAGAGAGATTTCTACCCTGACCTTCCTCTGGTACCAGACATCCAAATAGAGCCAGTCAGTAAAGCGGTCAATAGATCTCATAATTCTTTGGAGTAGCAAAAGTCCGTCCAAGCTGCCCAAATAGCAGTATAGCGTTCCATCTTACTGTGCGCCATCGCAGTCAGACGTTCCATGAGCATAATGTTGTCAAGTTCTGCTACCCATTCAGCCAGGGACGGGACTATTTTTTTTTTATCTTACTTTTAGCTGGAGAAATGCTTTAAAGTGGAATTTAAGCCATTTTTTGTTTCAGAGTGTGGAGATGTTAGAGCCTCTGTCACTGTCTTCATTAGAGAGGATCAACCTTACTAATGCTGGTCACCGAGCCAGGAAGTGAACAGAAATCTCTCAAATGTGGACACAAATACCTTGTGGGGTATCTTTGTCAGCTGCTTTTGTCCACAATGTGAATACAGCCCTTGCTTTGAGTGCTGATACATAAAGGAAGTAATAGGAAATATCCCCACAAGGACTTGGACAGAAATAAAAGTTAGAAAAAAAGAAGTCTTGAATTATACTTTTTTTTTCTGTGTTCCTATGAATTGCTGTACTTTGCATCTTGGAGGAAGACATATAATATGTTTTTAGTGCCATATGTACTAGTAGAGTCACATTGAGACATAATCATGTCTTTAATTTCCACTATACAGGATGTACACCACTTCAGGGATGTTTGTGACCAGCCCCTTACTATTCCTGATGAAGTCTAGCTGCTGGCCATAAAAAGAGTTGTCAGATGTATTAAGATAGTCACATATATCAACCACTGACAGGCAGCTATTTTTCACACAACTCATTAAATATCTGTGTGCCGGGGATGGTAGCATGCTGCTCTCTGTTGGGCTGCATTTCTGCTGGACCCGAGTGGTGCAGTGACCGTTTTAGATACAGCAGGGTTCTCTTTTAGACTCTTCTTAGAAGACCTCAATATTTATTTGCCTTGGTGACAGTTACTCAGCGATTTCCAGTTAAGTTGTAAAGTGACCTTTCACTAATTCCCAAGTAGGTATTTAAAAAGAAATGACAAGTTCAACAACGCGGGCTTATGCAGGGTTGTATTCTCTAGGCTTCATCTAATTTTTAGAAATGTACAGAAATAAACAAAGCTTTTTTAAAAAAATCACACATCAATAGGGCCCATTCACACCGGATTTTGTTGTGCTGAAAAAAAGGTAGAACGTATACTACTTTTATTCAGCGCAACATAACGCATCAGAACCGGTGTGAACTAACCCCATTCACACCCATGCATTTTTCTGTGTCCTTACGTTAGCATCCGCTGAAAAACGGATCGGAAGGTACAATTGCAAGTTGACTTTCCTTCCGATTTTGGTGCGAACGCACCCGGTTGGTAGTATGTAGATCAAACATTTATACCACTCGATCTGTTGAACCAGCTTAAAGTTCACCTAAAGGTAATGTTTTAGGCTAGGTTCACAACTAGGCGACTCCTGATCACGCGCCAATCCGTGAGGTTTTGTGCACGATTGCCGCGCGGTCAGGAGTCGCCAAGGTGTAAACCGATTGCACTGTGGGTGCCATTACTTTATAATGGCACCCTAGTCACGCCGGGCGATCGCGCAGTTTCCCGCCGCGATTCCGCCCGTGCAAGTGAACAAGATCGCGGCAACAACAAAAAAGCGATGTGTGTCGCAAAAAAAGGTACTTGTGCCTTTTTTTTTTTTTTTGCGATTGCCATGCGGATATCACCCCATTGAAATCATCCCGTCCTGGGTGTTGGGAATACCCTGTCCACAAGGTGACAACACTGCTGCAAAATTTCACCGCAGAACGAACAATGTTGTCACCCTGTTATAGTAAGAGGAAATATAGCAGATCTACTGAAAGGATCAACAGGTAACACCACTTTGGAACTCAGGAAGACAAAAACTGCTTTGTTATTGCGTTTGTGACAGACTGCAGCATATATTTAATTTTTTGTTTTGTGCATAGTTCCACTTTAAAGGGACCCTGTCAATAGAAAAAAGTACAAAACCTTTCCCTTTGCACCACCAGAATTCTGCTCTTTTCAATAGAAAACCTCCTATGGTCTGCTATGAAATCACTTCCAGGAGAACAGTGTCAACCTTCTTGGTCTTCTGCAGCCTTCAGTGGTTCCTCATGCCAACCTCAAGGTCACTACAAAGCATATCTGTGAAGTTTAGGTTGGTTGGAAGAATCCCTAAAGTTTACTTCAGCAGAGGATTTCTCTTAAACGGGGCGGTGTTATGGGGGTGCTGGCAGTGGGAAAAGGAAGTATTTGCTCTTTTTTTTTGGCAAGGTCACTTTATAATTGCCCTCTGATGTGAGAGATTTGATAGTTATTCTTTTAAATCTGTACCAAAACCATACAGTTTCCCCTAGGGTTTTGTTTGTAATAATATTACCATCTGCCATACTTTGAGAGTAGTAGAAGGCAAGCAGTAAAGTTAGAGGCCCAGAGTAGTCTTCATGCAATGTGCATAAAGCATTGTGTATATAGTGTGTATACAGCATTTGTTTTCCCTCAAGCTTTATTTAATATTGTGCAGTTTTATGTATAAAGTATTATCTGATGGCAATATCTGTAGAACACTGTTGAGGTTGCTCACTGAAGTGGGTATTAAAA